ATGTATAGTTTAATAATAAAATATTAGATACAGGACAACCAAAATTCTAAGTTTTATAACGTTTGACAAAATAAATTAATTCATTAACGGCTATTATTTATATTGCTCCGGGCTCCCAGTGCACTTAACAATAATATTATAATCTTTATAATACCGAGAACTCGTAATAGTGACCACCGCCAGCCCGTATTTATGACCATAGGTAATTCGTAAACAATTATGTTTAATCATTAGGTTATCAGCTTATACACAATATTATTTCTATTCGTTATAATACTGCATACATTTAATTGACCACCTCACTTTTTTTATATATGTTGCTTACCATTATTTTATATATATATTATTCTCTACCAACGTTTTACATATTTAATCTCTTTTAAAAAGCTTTTTTTATATACACGTTACCATTTATCTTTACTTTTTATTCTTTATCTTTAATTAGTTTTTAAAAATTTATATATATTACCAGAAATTGTCTACCATTTACTATAAATTACTATGTAGATGTTATAATACTGTGCCCACAATTATGTGCCCCACCCTGAAAAAAAAATGTACCCACATAAATGTAAATCAACTATAAAAATTTATAAATAAAATCTGTTCTTATCAGCTTAACTTGAAAAAGACTCTGAGGAGACGGGACTCGATTACGTGGTAAGCGTTCTGTGAGACTTCTCCCGGCCTTTCCACATAAGTGCGCACTGGAATCCTATGGCCTTTAGACCGAGGGCGATTATAACCCACTCTTCTCTTCAACTTTTATGACCGCAAACATCACCCCTCTCGTATATATCGGTGTGGGTCAGGTAATCTAAGTGAGAATAGGGGGCTTGCCTTTCATTTGTATTATACGGTGCTTACGACGTCCTCGTGAATTATTCTTTTTCCGTCTGTTCAGACAATCCTTTAAAGAACTGGTTTATTATTATTATTATTATTATTATTATTATCGTTGTGTGTGTTATTCTTTATATTTTCGAAAAAAGGGTGTGCGTTCCACCACTTGCGGTAGTCATAGCAGACCCCCCGAGTTTGGTGACAAAAAAATTCCGTGGATCATGAGAGCTTGCTTCCGCCGCAGAGACCCCACGACCTCACACAACAGGCCGATAACTATTTTTATAACACATATTTTTATAAAAAGTGCGTAGTGCGTCCGGCTGTACGCCGCCTTTCGGAGCAGTCAGCACCGACGAATCTTTCGTCGTTCGTGATTTTTTTATTTTCAATTATTTTTCGTCTTCAAAACCGAACCCCGACTGGTGCCGACTTTTGGCCTAGCTGTTACATCGCATCGACGATGTAGATCTTCGGGCCTTTCCGAAAATCCAAATCAAGGCGCATGCTACGGCTGCCCATGACCTGGTTCTCGGAAAGGACTTCGAATTTGCGAACCGCCGCCTTCTTAATCCGTGTATTATGCCTCGCCATGTATAGGGCGGTGTACCGCATGCAGTGATTGGCGACGTGGGCTAAACTTTCTGTAATGTACCCACATCGTCTACATCTGCGGTCACCGGCCTTCCACGACGAGACCCCATTGAGTGGCACGAGGTTGAGGCGGTCGCGGTGGACAAACCGCTAGTTTGCAAAACGAGTGAAGTCCCCGTTCCTCAGGAAATGGTGTCAGGCGGGGTGGGCTCCGACGCATTCCATCGTCCGCCCCTGGTCCGGCTTGTCAACGAGGACTTCACTCCGTTGGTGTCGTTCGCAGTCTCGGATTGTCCTCATCACGTTCCGCCTCTGCTTCGCTTTTAGTATGGTGCCACCGTGCTGGATGGAGGGACACGGGTCCAGGCCCCAGCCGACCTTCAGTCGCTTCGACGCGTTCCGCGCCCGCGTCCAAACGTTGGACGTGCCGGAACCGCGAGTCTCTCTGAACACGCCCTCACATTCTCCGGAGAGGAAATCGGCAACTTCTGTGTTGGTCAGTTGGCGGCCGATCCTCCTTTTTGTTGTGTCGGTCGCGTGTTCATTGGCTTCGGTAGAGACTCGGGTGTCCGGTGACGTCAGGAGTTTGAATGCGGAATCGATGGCGGCTATGTCCACGTCCTCCGCAAGTAGACGGATCCCAAAACCCCCTCTTCGCTTGAATCCGCGAATATATATGACATATATGTCATTGGTTAGCCGTTGACGTGTGTGCCGTTTTTTCTTCATATAATTGTTATTACATTATTTTGTGTATGCAAATATGTAATCGAGCCTTTTATTAAATAAGATTGTTTTGTTTTCGTCATCGTATTCCTTCTTATCCTTCTACAAGCACGGCGGCACAAGTCGTAAATGTACGTGCCGTGATGGCGCAAACATGGGGGAATATACAGTTAACATTTTTATTAATTATCAAACGTCTTTAATCATTATAATAATACGTACGAACGATACAGTAAAATAAGCTCGAGTAATTATACCTATATATTAAATGCTGTTTTGTAATAAATGTGAACATAATAAATACATACAGTAATAACATAATTGAACAAAACGTATATCAACATTGTATTCATGAAATATATATTTTGAGTTACAAAACATGGTCAGACAAGATACAAAATGATTAATCAACATAGATTAGTTAAATTGTTAACAGCAAATAGAGTTTGTATTTTTTAACATAACCGCTGGACAGTTTATCTCGAAAATATCTTCTGATGAGTTTGATTTATAGCTATTTTCTTCGGAATTTGATTCCATTTGATACATGGTAGTACTGGTAAAATCTATACAGACCGGCGGTGAAAGCCAAAACGATGATGCCAAATAGTATCGCGAATCGAACAGTCAGTAGTAATTTTGCCTAGTGACAGAAGCGTGGGACCCAGGATGAAACTAAAATGGCATATATATGTGCATTGTATGTATATCGAGTGCCCCTTAAGTAAGTATGATATCAATATGGCCTCAGCGAACAACCATTCGACGACTAATCTTGTATCCAAGGGCTGCCAATATTTGCGTTCATTGCCTTATGTAGATCATCGTCTTCGACTTGCAAATTCAAATCGGCTGTCCACCAATAGTCGAACGTCATGACCAATTTAATTAATTTCAAACAGTCATAAATATTCCACAATGTGCTGAAATACCTTTTGGGTCCCTGGACTAATACCAGTTATACCGTGCGAACTGTGAACGAAAATATCTACTTAAACAATGATTGCATTTTTCAAGATCAAGTACAGAGAATCTTTTATGGAACCTGTCTTGTTTAGATTATTTTAAAGAGTTTATCAAGGAATAGGATCATAAAAATAGGATCATCAAAAAAATGGCATACAATCATTAATAGTTGATTATCCGGTTTATGGGCAGTGTGTAATGATAGTTTTTTTTCGAGAACGGTGTCATCAAGTACAAAAAATAGATCATTGGTAGCAAAATCACCCGCAGGAATATTACGAAAATCTTATGTACCGCACTGTATCGTTTCCATCCGAACCAATTGCCAGACTATGATGCCTCCGGTGTCTGTTCATAGGCGGACCTCAAGTAGCCCCCCAAATATTTTAATAGCCCCTCAAAATCGAAACTTTGTTAGAAATGTTATTCGTTGTTTTTATAATTATCTTTTGGTTTTTTTTGAAAATCGTAAAATAAGAAATAATAAAAAACTATTTACAATGGCATTAACAATACCAATTAGTTCGGTTACTTGCGAAGGAAGTTTCAGTGTAATGAAAAAAATAAAAACTTGGCTAAGTTTCAGCGATCTTTCAATACTATATATTTACAAAAATACATCGAAAAATATAAAAAGCGATGATATTTTGAATATCTTCGCTGATACAACTAGATTTGTCATTAAAATAAAATATTAATTATTTTTAAATATACGTTATTTAGTGTTTTTTTTTTTTTTTTAATACAATTTAAACATCTATATATTTAGTAGTAATAAGTTATACTTGTGCATGAGAAAGGGGCCTGGGGGCGAAGCCTCTGCGGGTTATTTTACTTTGAATTATTATAGCTACCCCAAAAATTTAACCAAATATCTGCTTATGTGTCTGTTGTACGTAAGCGTGAGCCACAAACACTTTTTGCTTAAAATCCATTGCCATCCCTTATCTTTGGTATGGAAAAGCTCCGAGAAAGCTGCATACTTCTTTCTTGGTGAGTATTTACTCCACCTTAATTAATGAACTTTTCCTTAAATTTAACTGGAAATTCCTTCCCTAATTGTACGAAAACAGTAACCATTTTTTGCTTGAATTGAAAGAGCTACTTATCAGGTTGATAACTTACTAAGACTAATAGTGATCCACTAAAATGGAATTTGCGAATATGACATCGAATCCATCAGATATGTTTGTTAATATAATAATAATTACCTACTGTTATATAAGTAGTTGAAATCGTTGCTGTCGTCCATGGTGCGTGGCAATTTATTTATTTTTTTTCAAATAATGTTATTCCCTACTAATATTAGCATTTATGTGTCACTTCATTTGAATTTCTTTGATGTTCATCACTACTATGATATTGTGTTTGATTATAATTTTTTTTTTCTGTCAAAGCTTTGTAGTTTACGATTGTTTCAATCATTAGACTCAGTTGTTCGGTGAAGAACGGTTACAAGTTGCGAAAACGTATGATATCTGCATTATATTTTAAATGTCTATAGTAATTTGCTTTTCCTGAATATTTTCTATTTAAAAAATGTATAATTTCATCCAATTTCGTTAAAATAATTCCTTCTGTTGCATAATATATAAATTATACTTAAAATTAATACATAATTATACGATGATATTCTGTGATTACATACACCACAAATTACATTAAACATTGCATTCATAATGAATTACCTATAATTATATAGTATATTTATAACATAGACATACGGACATAATAGACATAGGATTCTATTATGTCTATGGTTTATTCTTTATAATCACCGTGGTTGCCGGTAGGTAGTGGGGCATTTGTTGCCCAGGAAACAAATCCTTCGCACATCGAAACATTAACCGTTGTATGATAACACAGTGATAAGGAATTAAAAATAATTCAAATGGTTTAAAAATTCAATCGACAATCTTATAAAATTCACTTAATCGATGACATTATAAATGTGCAGTCCAGTCAGCCAGAATAAAAGTGCGTGACAATAGTGTCTTTTGATGAAGGTAATAATTAATTATCGATTAATGTATCAGAGAAGTTTGACATAGAAATAGACAGTGAATAAAAATTGGTTGTTTTTGAACTTATCTTTGTCGTTTATTTAGAAACTATTGAAAATCGAAAATCTTGGTGGCGCCGGTGGAACGAGAATAGCATGGCAAAAAGGAAGTGGTACTTATCTTGCTGTAACAGGATCAGATCAGTTTATTGGAATTTACAATCGTAATGGAAAATTGGTGGAAAAAATCAAAATTTCAGGGTGCCTATAATTTTATTAACCATTTTTTCAGTTAAAACATTTTTTAAGTACATAATTTGATGATTCACTACTTAGTTAGAATTATTATTTTTGAATTATTATGAATGCCAGTTGTAATTAATGTTCCAACAGATTAAAGAGCTCGAAAGTCCTATCTCAAATTTTTTATCGCTAAATTCAATTTAAAATATTTCATCCATGTTGTGACAATAATATTTTAGAGTGATGCATTATACATCACGTAATTCATATGTGAAATGTCTGATCTTGCGTACACACTGATATAGATTGATACATGTATATTAGTACAGTTAAATCTGTACTCTATAAAAATGTTATATCTAGTTATAATGTTATATCAGTTTTATGTGTTTATTTCTCTTTTGAAATATATTTGTGATCGCATAATTAATTGTATTTAAACTAACATATATTATATAATTTTTTGCAAATAAAATGCAATAACACCTATATATATTTATATTTATGAAATAAATATCAGTTCATTTTTCTTTGTGTTTTAGAAAATGTACTAGTTTAGCATGGGATCGCGATGGTGATTTATTAGGAATTCTATGTGATGGTTCATCTACTTTAATGCTATGGGAAGCTAATTCCTCGAAAATTGAACAAATTAATCCTGTCTTTAAAGACAGTCTTACATGTATAATTTGGTCAAAAATCAGTCAAACTGTTGCTATTACTTCAGCCAAAGGAAACCTAACAATTTATGACTATCGTACTTCTAAGTAAGAATAAAATTAATTTTTGTGCAATGTTTTAATTAATTTAGCCTTGTTGAGGTTGTGGTTTTAAGAATCTCGTTGGAAGTTATACTACGGAGTTAATACCGCTATTTTATTCTTTATTTTTAATGTGATCTATTACTTAATGACTAATTACTGGTGACTCCATGTATATAGATCAAATTTATAATTATTTTTACATGTTTATAAATAAGTGGTATAGGAGTCATTCTAAATTTACCGATAACTATATTTAAAGAAAATAGTTTTTTCCAATGGCGTGGTGTTAACACCGTGGGCGTAACCACTAGGAGTTTAACGTACTAATTTTTGTGCAATATCTTATTGAATGATTTTTAGACGAACACCAGTGTTAGGTAAGCATACAAGAAGTATTACATGTGGTGAATGGAATAGAGACAATATCCTAGCTTTAGGATCCCTGGATCAAACAGTATCTATAAGCAATATTGATGGTGATACATTAAAAATTATATCACTTAGAGGAGAACCTTCAAAAATTACATTCTCAAAAATGAAGTCGGATCGTAGAAAGCACTCTGAAGAAACCGTAAGTTTTATATATTTATAAATATATAGTTATGATTTTATGAAATAGTTTCTTGTATTCTTAATTTATATAGGTAAGCGTTTTAGTAAGCAATAAAACATTATACCTTATTGATTTGCAAGACACTGATAATCCATATGAACTAGCTTTTAATTTAAAATATGGGTCAATAATTACTTACCATTGGTATGGAGATGGTTATATTTTAATCGGTTTCAGTGAAGGTTATTTGATATCTATATCGACTCATCCTAAAGAAGTAGGTAAAGAACTCTTTCAAGTAAGAAATCATAAAGAAATACTATCTGATGTTGGTTTATCTAAAACTGCTGGAAAAGTAGCTACATGTGGTGAATATACGTAAGTATTTACATTAATAATTAATGTAATATATAAATCAAATAATATATTTTTAGAATTAAAGTACATGAAATTGGAAAATTGCAAGAAACTACAGCTGTATTAAATGTTGACGAAGGTAGTGTTCTTGATCATATTTCATGGAGTGAAGATGGGCGATTAATGGCTGCTACTACGTCAGATGATTGTGTTCATATTTATTTAGAGGCCTTACCTATGGTATCATCAGCATATAACAACTATGTTGCATTTTTAACTTCTTTGAATCAAGTTACAGTACATTACTGTCATTCGGACAAAGTTAGTTCTCTAAAAAATATTTAAAAACACTAATTTGTTACATTATCATTATATATTTTAGAACCAACCACCTGATATGGTCTCTATTACTACAGAAATGGAACCAAGCTTTTTAGGCCTTGGTCCTAATCATTTAGCAGTTGGCATGAATAACAGAATTTGGTTTTACAAAATTAACTCGTCTGATTCAACTAAATTATCAATGTCATTACTTGGTGACCAGGAATATTTAGGTAGCATAAAAAATGTTTGCATAAATAGTGAATTTATATCAGTTTTGTTTGAAGGAAGAATCCAAATCCATACGGTTTGTATATTAATTATTAAATTGTATAACATTAAAAATATTAATAATGAATCACAATATCTTAATATTCATAACAGCATGACCTTCTTATGTTATTTATAAGTAAGCATAAATACAGAAAATAAGATGGTTATTAGTCTAAAATGTATTGATATTAGTTATTATATTTAATGTGATAAGTATAATTATGTCTAATTTGACATAAAAATAATTGTTGAGTTAAAGCTTAAGAGATATTAATCTTAGTTATCATTATTATTTTAGTTTTACAATCGTATTTAACATTTTTTTTTCTATTATTATTATAATAATATTTATTCACATTAATTGTATTAAACAGTAAGTAAAAAATGTATGAATTGAATAGACTGTAAATAAAAAAATTAAAACAAAGAGTAAGTGTAACGGAAATGAGTATGCCAAGAAGGATATATGTAGTAAATGGTGACATGAAAAGACAAAATAAACAATATATATACATACATTATTCTAACTGGGATAACTGAAGAGTTACATCATTGATAGGTAAATTGAAACAAAATAGCTTTTAATGATTTGAATATGTTAAGATGAGATATGTAAAAGAGGCATTAAAATTTGTAATTAAAAAAAATAAAAAAATAGATAAAAATAAGAATATTAAAGAAGAGGTAATTGTATTCAACTGTTGGTGGTATAAAATCAGCCGGTGTATGAAGGAGATGTGAGTAATTTAGATGTTTGGAGATTGAGAACTTGGTTGGCCAATCTCAAGTACTTGAGAGCAAAGACTAAAAAGGAAAAGGACAATTAATTTAATATAATTAATTATTTAACTCTTATTTATAATTATTTCAAATAATTTATATTTTATATTTATTATTGTAAATTATAAAAAAAATTATAATAATTTATCATAAGATTATGTAATTTAGATTGAATCAATTGTTTCAAAGACAGTCAATGATGGTGTATCAAAAATATTTCCTACCGATAAAGGAAAAAACATCAACAGTCAGTATTTAACTAATGAGTTTCTCATCTATAGCACTGAGGTAAAAATATAATTGATTATTTTTTGTATAAAATGAAATCCTAATATAATATTACTAGAACTTTTATGAATATAGGATATTCATACTGAAAAAATTATTAATTTAAATAATTAAATGTTATGTATTTTGTAAATATATCACAGGTAGGTATTATTCACTATTTTCATCTAGAAGACTGGAATGAAGCTTTCACTTATAAACATCACTGTGGTATTGTCAATTTATATCCTAATCAAGAAGGTATAAGATGTGTGTTAGTTGATACAAAAAATAAAGCTTATTTATACACCCCAGTATGTCCAATTGTTAATGTTATAAAATATATAATAAGCAAATGAACATTATATTTAATTATTCTTAAGGTTTCTGAAGAAATTATCCCTATTAAAGATTTTCCAACTTCGGCTTGTTCAGTAATGTGGGAACTTTGGCCATCTGAAAAGCATGTGTTTATTGCATGTAGTGATAAATTATGTTTAACATTTGTGTATGTAAGAGATTCAATCAATGGTAATTTATTAAATAATATATTGCTATGTATACTATTTACAGTTATTGTTTTACATCATTAATTTACACTTAGGTAGTGAAATCCATTACATTGGTTCCACCAAATTACCTGAACGTCAAATTCCATTGTTTTTGTTCCACGGTGATTTAACACTGGAAACATCCAATGGAAAATTAAACACTATAATATTATCAACCCACACACCAATATTAATACGGCCAGCAGCGACCACACTTAGTCACCCAACAGAGAGATTAGAACAAGACTTGGACAAACAATTAGCTCTTATTAGGATTAGTGATGCATGGAAGACTTGTCAGTTATTAAACAAAAAAGAATATTGGGAGAAATTGGGTGAAAGCTGTTTAAATTATTTTGATATAGAAACAGGTAAGTTGTTTAATGTTTAACAATTAGTATTTAAAAAAAAATTTCAAATCAATTTTTTTTATTTGTTATTAATTCAAGCTCTTCAAGTATATACTTATCTGGGTGATGTTTCAATGGTATGGTCATTAGAATTAATAAAAGATATAGAAGACAAAAACTTGTTTGCTGGTTATTTAGCTATGTATATGAAAGAATTTGATAAAGCTCAAGTAATTTATTAACAAGAAATAATTTTTATAATTCATTATAACCTTAGTATTGGCTTTAGAAATTGTTCTTAGAATCGTCTAATCCAATTCAAGCCTTAGAAATGAGACAAGACCTATTGCAATGGGATGTTGCATTAGATCTTGCCAAAACCCTTGCTCCCGAACGAATGCCTTACATTTCTTGTAAATACGGCCAACAGTTCGAACTTATGTTTGTATTATATTTTACACACTATGTCTTAGCTAGAATAATTTTATATGACTTTTTTTTCGTCTTTATTTTAGTGGTAAATCTGATGAGGCAATATTACAATATGAACAAGGCCTTAACTCAGATACAGATACTGATAATTTCAGATATTGTCGTGAAGGGATAGCCAGATGTTTGATAAAATGTGGAAATACTAAAAAAGGCATAGATATAGCATTAGATATTGGGTCAAAAAAATTATTGAATGAATGTGCTGAACTACTAGAAAATACTAAAGTATTATAATAATACATAGTAAACAATTAAACAGTGTATATTTATTTTTATGACATTCAACTTACATTTAAAATGTAGAAATTAGGTGACGCAGCAGATTTATATGAAAAGGTTGAGAATTGGGACCAAGCAGCTTCATGCTATATTCGCTTAAAAAATTGGTCAAAAGTTGGTGAATATGCAACATACATTACATCAACAAAAATCCATGCTCAGTATGCTAAGGTAAAAGTTAAAATGTTTTATTGTGATTCAAAATGGAGCTAATACAATTTAATAACAGGCTATGGAAGCTATGGGAAATTATAAGCAAGCATTATATGGTTATAATGCAGCTCATGACTATGAAAATGTTATTCGAATAGATTTAGATAAGCTAGATGATCCACAAGATGCTATTGCAGTTGTGCAAGAACATCGTAGTACTGAAGGTTCAAAAATGATTGCCAGGTAAATTGCAAACATTGAGACTTATAAATTTTTTTTAAAATTAAAAAAAAAACCATTTCAAATTGTTATTATTAAAAGAGTATATCTTACAAATTAATAAACAAATATTTTCAGATATTTTCAGAAAAACAATGAAATACTGTTGGCAATTCGATTTTTGACTATGTCACATTGCTTTACAGACGCTTTCAGATTAGCTTGTGATCATGACCATTTAGAATTATATGGTGATGTTTTGTTAGACGAAGATGAAGAAGTTTCTGTTCCCGAGTTTGCCAGTCTAGCTAAATATTATGAAATGAAAAACAGTCCTGTTCTTGCTGGGAAATATTATTTTTATGCAAAAAACTACCAAAAAGTAAACTTTTTAAACTTTTAGAAATTGAATCTAACTAATTTTACTCATAATTTAGGCTGTTATAAATCTACTCGAAGGTAGTAAAGCTGATCCAGAAAATGATGAAATCTTGTCATTAGCTATTGAAGTAGTTGCTGCCGCTAAAAAAAACTCAATCGATGATGAATTTATAAAATTATTGCTAGGTGAAGTTGATGGCCACACAAGGGTAATCAATACAAATAACATAATCAGTTGTAAATTAAGAATTAATTCAATTTAAACTGTATGTCTTGCATATCTATTAATTTCAGAATCCAAAATTTTTGTTCAAACTCCACATGGCCAGAAATCGATATCTAGAGGCCGCAAAAGTTGCTATAATATTAGCAAATAATGAACAAGTCAAAGGTAATATAGTTTCAACAAGTACTCAATTTCAAACTCCATGTACAAAATTATTTTGTTGCACAATTTTGTTAAACGTTGAGTATGTAATTGTTTAACAATATTTTACAGGTAACTATAGGCAGGCACATGATGTACTGTACAACACCATTTGTGAATTACGTAATAATCAGTTAAAAGTAAGCAACGAGATGATTGCTAATTTAGCACTACTCCATTCGTATATACTTGTACGAGTGTATGTACGCCTAGACAATCATAGCAAAGCAGCTCCATTATTGATCAGAATTTCAGAAAATATTGATAGATTTCCCACACGTATGTCAATTGATATTGTCATTGATATTAAATATGCTAAAACATTTTGATGATTTATTTTACCTATTGTGTACATAGATGCCGTGCAAATTTTAACATCAACTGTCATTGAATGTTACCGCTCCAACATGAAGGAAAGTGCTTTTAAATTTGCAACTATTTTAATGAAATCTGATTATAGACATCAGGTAATTTTAGTTACTGAGGTAATTTTCATATATTTACAGATTTTAATAACAAAATGTGTTTTAGATTGATGAGAAATATCGAAAAAAAATAGAAAGTGTCATTAGAAAGTCTCCTAGAGTTGGTTCCCAATCAAATGATATTGTTACCAGAATAGAACCATGTCCGTATTGTGGATTTGACTTGCCAATGACAAGTCTCACATGCACTAGCTGTAAAAGTACTATACCTTTTTGTATAGCATCTGTAAGATAAATGTAATTAGAAACAAAAATAGATTGTTATTATTTTTCATTTATCTTGTTTTAGGGGTGGCACATTACTAAGGAAAATCTTACTTTCTGTCCAAATTGTCGATTTCCTGCATTGTATAATGAATTTGCTGGGTAAAGCATTTTTTTACGACTTATGTAATTTTAAGAACTAATTGTTATAATTTAATTTATAATACTTTTTTTTTAAATTTTAGATTATTGGAGTCTGGTGAAAACTGTCCAATGTGTTCAAATCCAGTAAAAATAGATTATTTACAAATAGTTGTTGATCCAAAGCCTTTCTTATTTACCGAAGAACACGATTGAATAATTATTTTTAAGTTTACTATGTGCACAATTCCGTCCAATTACAATGGGATAGATCTCTCTATGTACTAGACTTTTAATAAAGTATAATATACATTTTACTTTTTAATTTAATATTTATATACATGCGTCGTATAATAAAAATTAATAAAATCCAATCAAGCATAGTATTTGAAATATAAAACGTATCAAAATTATACCTGTTAAGAACTGTTGAATTGGTTATGGTTATCAGAAGAAGAATAGGTATATATCATTAGCATACACATTTTTGATTTTTTTTTTTTTTTTCATAAGGGGTAACGGCCTTTAAGACCAGCCCTCCAACTTAATACTCCTCCATCTATTTCTATCTTCTGCTGCTTCCCTCCATTGCAGACCAGCTTAAATTCTTCCTACATCTTGAATAACACAGTCTTCCCATCTTAAGCGAGGCCTACCTAAGGGTCGTTATTGATCACGGTCCTTATTATTGATCCTTGTTTCCTCCATGCATGCCCTGCCCATCTTAGTCTTCTGACTGAGATTTCTTTTGTGAGGTTAGGGCGTTAAAAAAGATTCTGGACACATTTTTGATACGATTACAAATTACAAATACATTTTTATTTGAAAATAAAATAACCAAGAGTTTTAATTAAAATGTTTAATTTTAATCCTTAGTAGTCCAAGAATTAAAATTGTGTAATGTAAGGTATAATTAATACCTAGGTCATTCAGTAAATATTGAATAAAATAGAATTACATTTAAATAAATAGTATATACTATTTACTTACATAAATTGTCAGTTGTTCAAATAACTTTTTTCTTTGTTTATTACTTAACATTTAATTTAGAATAAACAAAATAATGAATTTTTTCAAAAAAAATTTTTTCCACAAATGAATATCTGAACTATTAGTTTACTTACTGTTTTAATACTTAAATATTTTTCTAAGATTTCAGTTTTTACTTATAAATACGCAATTAAAATTTATTTTTAAAAAATTATGATACTATACTTTTTAAAGTAACTGATAGTTCAGAAACTGTAAGGTTTGTAGATAAATATAGGGAAGTATTAATAATTAATTAATTAAAAAATCTTTCTTTATTTCTTGTAGTACACATTTAAATACAAAATCTGAACAGGTTAATAATCATTAATAAACATATAAATTCTTTTTCAAAATAAGACCAATCAATTATAACGACAGTTTTAAAAGAAGACATACAATTACCGATATAATGGCTTATATATATAAAAAAAAAATATATCAAAATAAATGTATTGATTGTAAATAGGTTTATTAATATACATATATATAAATATATATTAATTTTAGTATAAAGCATGACTACATTGACACATAGAAACTAAATAGTATAATTGTTTGGTTGACAGAACATTGTCAAAATGTATTAGTTTCACATCACGAGGCCCACTTATTAAATACATCACAATGAAATAAAATAAAAATATTCACAAAATCTAGTAGTTTTAAATAAATTAAATATTAAAAAAATAAAACAAGCTAAGGTAGTGTACCTCAGTTCCATATAGATTATTTAATAACTTATGTTGCAAGGTTCATAATCTGATTTTTAGAGTTCAAAGGTTTGGTAAAGTTATGATTTCAAAATATTATCAGCACCTCTTTTATATTATTTTTGAAAATATATCAAAATACAAAAATATAACTGATTAAAAAGGTAAATTTAAATTTGTTATACAAAACATAAATGATAGTATAATGAAAATTTCAACTAATGAATAATATTTTAATTAACATACAATTTATAATAAACTAAGTAATGCTAGAAATATAAACGTTTGTGAACAACTTTTTAGACCACTTACTAAATTTTCAGACTTATGGCGCTGAACATTAAATACAGGGTGTTTAATGTAAATTAACTTGATATTTAATTTTTATGACTTGATTTTTATTGCAATGGAATATATTAAAGAAGTAAATGTATTTATATAATGAAACATTTTATAATATTCTATAACCCAGCACACCCTGTAATAATATTGGTACAAATGTTATTAATAAAATTAAAAAAAAATTATATGAATAAGAGTACAACCAAATTTAAAAATGGATTATGGAAGACTTCCATATATGAATAAATAGTTAGTCATTTCAGTCATAGAAATCTAGTAACTTTAACATTGTGCACATAAAAAATGTCATTAAATATAAATTTTCATGAAAGTAAATTAAGCCTATATAATTACAAACTTGTAAAATTTTGAATAGACTAGTATAAAATAATCAGTACTCCATAATATACTTTTTCAACAATAGTTGATAACAACATGTAATAAATAATTTCAATACTAGTATAGATGAATGAACTACATTAACAATGTTTTATGAACAATAATTATTTACAGACACGTGTTTGGCCTTGACCCCTAGATAATGTGTATAAGTATTTAGAAAAACAATCCCTAACATATTGTGCATCAATATCACAGTTATTAATATGTGGTATTACAGTTGTATTAGGGCCCCATACAATTGGTGCTATATCAGCTTTGATAACAGCTTCCATGTTACTGTCAATATAATAAGCACTCTCACGCTTAAAAAAATTATGAAGATAACAACAAGCTTTTACTATAGTTTGCACCTTCTTTGCTTCTAAGTTAACAGGAGTTTGAAGTACACCAAATCTCCATGCCATAATGGCCAAAGTTTTGGCAGCTCTTTGATTGGCCCTTACTAATTGACGATTAAATAATTTATTTGCCTCACCACCTTTATCATTAATTGCTCTGTAAGGCACCATAAAATTTTCTTGCAATTTGAAACATTCATCAGCTACAAATACATATGGTAACTGATTAGAATTAGACTGACATGGTAGCTTTGTTGATCGAAATTTACGTTCCAAAATTTTATTTGGTGGGTTTTCTTCTGAAAGATGTCCACTAGGACACGTATCCACTATGAGGAACTCATAATTAGCATCAATTACTGCTGATAGTAATACACTAGGTCGACGACGTTCGTTAAGATAATCAGAATCAGCCTTAGATGCCTTGCGGAGCTCTATATGACGAGCACATGCAGCACCAAGGCATGATGGAAATCGTGTAGTACGTTCAAATGTTGCTGACACTCGCATCCATTCTTCTTCTATTTGAGGGCACTGTAAAAATAAATAAATTATGCTAGTTGATTAATTTATAACAAAACTATGAAAAATCTGAATTTTAATAATTAGAATAAAATTATTAACAATTATAACATAAAAAAAGATAATAATTTTATAACATCTTAAATACAATGGAAAAAAATGCAGAATAATAACTAGATCCTCCTCACTTTCAACTGATATCAACAAATCATTCAACCATGAAAATAAAATGTTCTTTATTTTATTCACTTAAAATTTAAATAGTTTTGGAGTATATACATTCTTTTAGTATTGTTAAATTTATGTTTGTGAAATGACATTTAATGTTAATAATATTATTTATTTTGATAATGGATTGTATGAATTCAAGTTGGAACTATATATAATTAAAGGGAGGATTATTTGTAAATCTCACAGTAGAAGCCTGAAACTAATTATATTATTCACTTTTGTAGTTTATTCTTTACAGCGCAATGATCATATACAAGTATATTAAAAGGAAAAAAAGTAGACAAATGATATTAAAAATAAGTTTACAAAAACATTTAATCAAAACATACATTAAAAACAAAGATATTTATAACATAGTATATTTAATCTATGGCTGTACACTAAGTGTAAATATTTGTTATATGATGTTAACAATTATTTACACTACTATGCATTATGGGTATATGTCAACTCTATAGCAGAACCAAGTTAGGTTAGGTGCTGTGAATTAAATGATATACATGTATATATTTAGTTGTACCATTGATTATACAATATTATATAGTAGTATATAGTATATTATATTGTAGCTATCTAAAGAAAATCAAAGTTATAAAATATAAATATAAATACACAATATACAACATATAGTGTTTTTGGATTTGTAGAAAATCTTCTAAGGTACTCCGAGTCAAAAAAGTTTGGAAACCTATGCTCATCTAGTTTCTGTATAAGCTATGATGGTCGATACACTCTATGGAAGCATGTATACTCTGGAGAACAATCTATGGGAGATATTATATTTTATGAAGATTTATGAACTTTAATTGATCTGGGATGAGGTGGATGTATAGTGTATGGGGTTAACTAGGTAATAATCAAAATTGTAAAGAAAAGTAATAATGTCATAAGTCATGATTTTTTTTTTTGTTCTAAGTACATACACTTCTTCTTTTCCTTTGCCTTTCTTCCAACTATTTGGAGTCCATCACCCTTGTCATAAATCATCACTTGCCTCTATTTTCTACATACACACATCAACAGCCTTCGTATCATTCTCAATCGTATCCAACCATCTTTCTTTTTCTCTAAGTATATATATTGTTTATTCATTTTTAAATTGCAATATAAAATGAAGAGCAAAAAAACGTACTAGCAAAAACAAACCTTTTTACCATAATTTTTTTTTTGTGTCTGTATACAAGGTAATTGATAAAAATAGATATATCTATAAATAGATATTATTTTATATAATTTTTTTACCAATTTACAGTTTACTTTTACATTATAGTAAATTAATAGCTATTGGAATATAAAACAGCATAGTTAACAAAACTTTTCAAATACCTATCAATATAATTATTTAACTATCATAATATTTGTATAGTTGTATATTTTGAATTCAAAGCGTAATAATGAAACTACGAATATATTACACGTCATCAATAATAAAAAAATTTTCTTTTTATTTTTTTTTGTCCTGGGGGGTTTGAACCCGCCCCCCCTTATATGTACGTCACTGGGCTATATAATATTCAATATTATTAATACAATTAACACATATCTGCAGGTTTAATTCTTAAAACTTGATGAGTTCATATCTTCCTAATCTATTGCTATCTATGATGTCATAAACAAACAATACACAATTACTATTGAATACAACCAACTAGTTATATGAAATAGGTAAAACAGAAAAATACAAAATATATTTTTTGTTTTTATTTTTGAACATTAATTCTTTTTTATATGAAAATTAAATAAAATCTTATTATGTTTCATGGCTTTTTAAATATTGAAGAAAAAATTAAACAAGGTCATTCATACATTGTTCATATGAAACTCAAAAATAGATACAAAATGAAATTTATTGTTATTTTTACTGACTCAATAAAATATAATTGGTAATAACAATTGTTTGATAGATTTATAATATTATGACTAATTGATTAACGAATAAAAATTATAAAATTGAAATATTGAGAAAAATAAGATAACATAATCAAAAATACATGAAAAATCATTTTTGTTTCGTTTGGCATATTTTTTAAAATAGTTTAATAATATTTGTCGATAATATCAATGTTGAAATGGTTATCATCATTTGCAGTTGCATTTAATCTTATGTCAATATTTATATTAATTTCATCAATCAAACTTATTTAACCATACAACTAATTTATCAATATCATGTAATAAAATTATGAAAATATATTTTACAATAATTTTTTTTACAAAACTGATTAATTATTAATAAGATAAAAAATATACCTTAATATAATCTTTGAGAGCTTCCATGATACAATCACAGGTTTCTACAATGATCTTTGCCAACATTTGAGGTGATATGTGAGTATCAATCTTAATTTCTTGTAGCGTAGAGCTAGTACCAAGAAATCTTAATGTTGCTGTTAAACGTCTAGCAGCACTGACTTTTAGTCCATTTTTGACTTTGGCCATGTGTGGATGCAACTTTGTCAACAACTTGTGAAATGTTTGTCTATCAACACGTAATCGTCTGCCACGGTCTTCTTTGGCCAACCATTCCAGCTCTTTCTCCAGTAATGCATCTCTAGAGTGACCGTCCCGCTGGCCAAAGTATGGACGTTGTTCCATCGACTGATATGATGTTGACGATGACGAACTACATTCAGACTGCTGTTGCTGTAGATCTGGTTTAAGAAGCAGCACAAACGCAGCCAATTCAACAGAATCTAGCGAATCTATGTTCTCGGCTAATTTTGCCAATAATAGCAATTGGTCGGTGGTAAACATGTCATCATTGCACAAAGGATCAGTTTTAGTAAATTAATAGTTTCCAGTTGATATTAAAAACGTACAAAAATAAAAGTGAAAAAACGCGAAAAAATCATAAAAATCAACTACAACCGTGAAGACCAATGATTCAATTGGTTCATGTCGAATATCAATTTAACGACAATAGAGATTACGGGACCAGGCTTCAATGAGCAGCATAAAAATTACAATAAATAGGCAACAGCGATGATAGATATTGGTTTATATTCTACAGGACGAAAATTTGGAAAACGCCGATGCCGAAAAACTGATAATCCGTAGTAATGATTACGCGATACAGTGCAGATACAGTTGTGCAAGATATTTTGTAAATGGGAAATTTAATATTATCCAGTGACAATTTTATTTTAAGCAAATAAGAAGGGCAATAACAGTGCTTGGAAGGAACGCGTTCAAAAGAACTCGTTCTTTTTATTTCGTTCCATTCTTAGGAACTTATCAGGAACGCAGTTCCTTTTTCGTGTTTATGAACGTATTGGAATTTCGTTCACTTTTTAAAGGAACACGAATGATTTTTTTCGTTCCTTTTTTCGTTAATTGATTTTTGAATAAAAATAGTTAAATCATTTTTAGAACTATGAGAAAAAAAGTTTAAAACTTCTTTAGTAAACATAAAGAGCTAAAAATAAACTTTATTTTTTTTATACAAAATTATTGGTGTATACAAAGTGTCCATTCTGTCACAGCGACCTTATTGGTGGGACATCGTTAGTGGCTTGAAAAATACTTGACGATACGGGTATGTATTATTTACAATTGGTAATTTATTACGAGTATATTTTTCAATTTTTAAAGCGTGCCTATAGACTATAACAGCTAATGCAATGTCTCTTTTTCAGTACAATCAGTTGTCTGCTGAGTGCTGCCTACACAGGTTTATAAATTAATTTCGTGTTATTTTTACTAGTTTTTTTATTACTTATTAAATATTACCAGGACTCGGAAGTTGTAGCACTAACATTTTTACTTATTAGCTCTTAAATAGCACAAAAAATAAAAAAATATGCATTTAATTTGAAAAAATTATAAATTGATTGTAAAAAAAAAATAAATGTAATTTTACAAATTTTTGGGCTCATAGATGGCTAGACTGGTTAAATTATAAACTGTTAAAAAAAGGTTGAATTAATTAATTAGTAAATATCATTATTATCAACAAATTATGATTATTTACTGTATTATGTGAAAATATAGGTACCCAAAAATAGCACTAAATCCTCTATTAGCGAAATAGCAATAAAACTTGTATATATGCAAAAAATAGCAAAATAAAATTTTGAGTATGATATCCGAGTAATGTGAAACATATTTGTATCTTACATTGGATGTTCTAGGATGAACCAAGAATTATATGCATTTTCTAGAACTTCCGAGCCCTGCTTGTTACAAATTAATAATTATGTCAGACGAAAGCATGAGTACAATTTCGATCTCACGTATTGGTATCTATGGCCAGGAGTTGAAAAATATTTTTTTTTCTCAAATTTTTTATTGACCTATTACATATTATAAAATAATTAAAATTAAAGCAAATATTATAAAATTAACGTGTATGAAATAAACAAATTTAAAAAATAAAAACAAAACAATAATACCCAATAAAATTAATTATATACAATTAATTATTTTAAAACTTTTGAAGAACGATAAATGTTCTTTATTTAGGAACGAGAAAAGGAACTAGTTCCTTTCTTCAAGACAGGAATGGTAAAGGATTTAGTTCCTTTTTAGCAAGATGAATGTGAACGTGAACGAGTTCCTTTTTTAAAGGAACTTTCCAAGCACTGGGCAATACTACAATTACATACTACAACTTATGCTATCATCGATTATAAACAGGATCGAAGCAATAAAGGGAGGTGAGAAGTACCTATACCCCGAGTTAAATTCCTGGGAGGACGCAAAAATAAAAAAAATTTCATTTTATATTAAAAATTACAACGGTCAATATTGTGTCTTTTATTTACAAAAACTTCATCATATTAATTGAAACAATTGTTGAAAATAACATCTAATAAGTTTTAATAAATTTATAGTTATTATTAATAACTATAAATTTATTAAAAATACATTATGGCACATTTTTAAGTTTCGCCCCAAGAGCAATATTTGGTTGCTACGGTACTGGTTATAAATACTATTTATAATTTATAATAATTTTTCCAAATACTCCTCTGAATGTCCCCACATGTTGATACCAAAGATTTATCTATAAAAATTTCCGATTACGGAGTAAAGATATATAAGTTATATATTTAAATAAAAAAGTTATAACTTCTAGTAATTATTGAAGCATTAGCATAATAATATTATTTTACAGAAAATATGTTAAAAATATGAAAAACGAAAAAAAATTGGTAAAGTAGTGATGTGATGTACTCGTAACATTATAAGGTTGTACCAGGTATAAGTTTCAAGAATATTGAATTATTAAATTATTAACAAAAATTATTATTATATATATATTATTTTCACTGTAATTTATCTTATAAGTTACCGGGGTTGTACATGAACATTATATACTCCGAGCCAATATTGTACCTAACTAACAGTATTTGTTAAAATACAATTTAAAATTGTAAAAAAAAAATATACATAATCCTATCATATATGAGCACATTGCGATTTACTTTAGTTTGAAATTGTTTATAATAAAAAATTAATTTAATTACATATTTTATTTTAATACATAACATAAAGGTGCATTTAATAAAATTAAAATATAATATCTCACGTAAACCACGTGATTGTTTTCCTATTCTTAACCAACTATGGGTTTAACTTTGTTAGTGTAACAATAAAAGTACTGATTTTCTTGAAATTTTAATTGACCAATAAAGTTGATTCACCAGCTCTTTTAATTTAATTTTAACGTATCTGAGCGTCAATATAATAATATTACTTTTTTTTATTATATTTTTATATTCTTGTATTATACTTATTTGGACACTATTTTTCGCATGAAAAATAATGTATATTTAGTATACAATATAATATAATAATTAGTCGATTTTCTATGGGAACGAGAACATGTTTACAAATTATGATGATTAGATATTTTTTATGTTTATGTTTATTGCGTGACATTTTGACTTTGTTACGAACATTTTTGTTTATAGGTACTAACTTATTGTTGTCTCTTGTCTGTCATTGTATATTTTAAATTTTTTTTTATAACTCATTTTAACTAAAATAACACGAACATTTAGAATAATTAAAGTTTGTAAGTTTTTAATGTGTGAATAAAATGGTTTACATGCGTGATCGATTAAGGTTTAGCCTCGAATAACCGGGTATGGTCGAATTTTATTTTAGTAAAATTGCACTTAGGTTGAAAAAAGGTAATGGTTGAACTGCATTCCAGTAAAAAGCAGGTAGTGGTCGATTAAACTCGTGCTCAAAAAAAGTATTTTAGCAAAATATCATGCATTGGAAGAGTATAAAAAACACTAATTTTCCTTTCTATTTATACGCTTAGAACTGCCAATGATTTTAATGATGGTTGAAAATTATTTTTTTATACATACCATAATTAAATAATGTATAAATAATATAAATAATCAAATCGCCAAGTATTATTATGGTTATTTAATTTTTTTTCAACTCGTTTTGATTATTTTTTGTAATAATAACAAACTGAATTCAAAAACTCGAACCTGGTAATACGCACTTGAGTATATAAGTTAATATATTTTTCAATATCATTTTTTTTTTTTTACCTTGTCGTTGAAGGTCTTATGTCAGTATCCTGCATTCAAATATACGTATCTGTTAGTAATTGTGCAGTAGCATACGTAAACATAAGATTTGTAACATTTTTAATGTTATTATAAAAACAATTATTTTTAAAGACGTTGAAATATAACACATTATTCGTGTATAAATCTTGTACACGATAAATGTTCAAGTATATCCAACAACACAGTTATAATCGCTTATACACGTGAACGTTCGTAGTGAAAACCCATTTTAAGTTTTAACTCCTTTTTTGAACGAGTGCAGCTTAACTATTACCTATTTTTAACCCAAATTCAATTTGACCATTTTTTTTTTTTTAGGTAATTAGTGCAATTTAATATATATATATATTCTGGTATTTAACCTTATGGTTGGTTTTGCAGTCGGATATGCAATCTCCATTCTTCCCTGTTTCCAGCTAACCACTTCAGTTCTGTGTAGTTTTAAACTTTATTAAAGTTTATAAAATGTTATATAAAATAATACAATTTTAATTTTAAGTATTAAAACAATTTCCTACTAGCTCATACCTATTTTTTAATTTCTATTATTCGAATAAAAGTACTATACATTGTACCACTAGCTTATATTGCAGACTGCAGTAGTTTTATTTGATTATGTGTTTTAATTATATCGCAGGAACGAATTAAAAATTTAGATTTTCTATCATAGAATAGTATGGGTAATTAATATATTCTATATGGACACACTGCAAATATTGGCGCCAGCGGTAAAAGTGTAAGGAAATCCACACCCACACTTTCCCGACAAAGGGGGCTGAAAGCGATCGATTTCCATGGCGCCAGCTGATGTTATATGATAATCAGCAAGAAAAAAAAAATGCCTAAATATTTATTGTTATTTTGAATTTTCGTATTTTGAATTTTTATTTTAGTAATAATAAATTATTTTTAATAATCACCCTCGTCAGTTATAATTGGCGATCGTATAATAATAGGGTAAGTAAAATTACGATTAATCTTGATGAATTCTGCATTTTTTATCAATACATTTCGTTACGTAATATATTAAAAAATTTTCAAATAATATATTGGTGAGTCGTATGCAGCTTATACCATAACTTAAATATATTATCATCGTAGTTGCAATATTTTATTAAACAAATAATACGATATTCGGTTGACCATTAGTAATCACATTACACTATAATTTACAACTTATGCACTTATAGTAATATATATTGGATTTTTAAGCTAACCTTAAGCTATTTTTTCACAAAAAAGTAATTGCTGGAAAAACTATAAGATATTTAAAATAACTAATAGTACTTGAACAAAATAAATGGTGATAGACATTCTAAAAAATAAGTAAGTAGATAACCTGTTGCCTCTTATATAAGAAAAATATTTTAGGGAGGTTTAGATATAGTGTTTTTTCTAAAAATTTTGTATTCAAAATATATCAGTTACCACGTTTACACTATTTATGTGACAATCTAAAGGTAAATTTTTAATATATGCTTATTTTTCTTAATTTGGAAATATTTCAATTAATTTATAATGCCATCTCGTAAAAGCATAGGCCTAGGGCTTTAAGGGGCTTAGCCCCCTAAATATTCTTAGCCCTCCCAGATTAAAAATAATAAATCACTGAATTTCGTGTTTAAGATTGAGATAAAATCTAATCATCAATGTACACTTAATACATAAAATAATTATTAAGTTTGACAATTCTTATTATTCAGTGTATTACGGCTTTATATTAGGAATATCCAAAATCTAAATTTGGTTCACAAAATTGCTCTTTTTCATCTTATCTTCATATTTTTGTTAAAATTTAAATTAAACCTATAGTAGTAAATAGTGATTTATTTTGTGTGTATGTGTATGTAAATTAATAATTGGAGGTGTGGGAGCCTAGCCTCTGTAGGTCTGTATTATCTCGGTACTTATAGCCCATCTAACATGTAAGCTCTAGTTATGCCTATACGTAAACGTATGTGTATATATATGAATTATAAGTCCTATAACTGTAAAACCTAAGTGAAAGTTCATTTAAAAAGTTCTTATTTTTAAAAGGTGTTGTTAAAAATGCGTCGTTAAAAATTAAATCTTTAGTTTATTATTTATGTCAATAAATAGCATAATACATTTAGATCAAAAACTGGTAATTTAACTGTCTTTTATCGTCATAAAATAAATTTATTTATTTATTGAATAAATAGATTTACAGCGGATAACGTAAGTATATTATTGATTTATTTAATTTCAATACTTTGAATTAATATTGTTGTACCTTATTCTTAACATTATACACGTAAGATTGAATGTGATTTGAGGACAATAAACAATTATAACCTTAAAATATAATAATTTGTAAACACTTAATTTTAAAATCTTAATTTCATAATTCTTAATAAACGTACATTTAAAATAAAATAAATGAAATACACAAATAATATTTATAAAAACCAATTTATATTTTTCTTCATATACAGTAGTATATTAATACCTATGTAATAATTATATGAACTCTTTCGGAAGTGTATAAATAGATATATGTTTAAAACAATTAAAGAAGAATAAGACCAGTATGTCAATGTCAACATTTTATTATTAATACAACACGGGTTTGTACGTTACAACTTGCACGTAGCAAATATATATATAAAATACTAACTGCCACCAACAAATTCTTATCTCGCAAAGATTTTAATAAACAAAGTTAATAAAAAAGTTATATAATACAATTTTATAATCAACAATTGATTATTAAATTTTATTAAAATTATTTTAAAAGTATGATAATAATATTGTTCCTAAAAATCAAGTATAATATTATTTTTAATAATTTTCAAATTATAAACAACAACATTGGCTTACGTTTTTAAAACTCCAAGTGAAAATACAATTTTTAAAAATATTAGCATATGATTTATCATTCTTGTTTTTTCTATTACGCAGTCGTACATTTCCAGTTATCGTTTTAAATTACCTTTATTCATCTTTATTCATTAAAATATTGAATTTTATTCTATTTTTAAGTAAAATATTCTACTAACTAATTAAATGAGTATAATTGTTTTACATACATATTAATGCTTATTAGTAAGCACATAGTTGAGGAAATGTGTTATAATACCTACTTATAAAAATCTATAATAAATAACATAACCATGAAACAAATCATTATTTTTATATAATTGTAAGTAAAAGAAATTATGAAATATTTATCTATTTAATCTATTGATAAGACAAATATAATTTATTGTTTTATATAATAATTATAAAAGTTACAAAAAATTATTTTAAACTGAAAAGCAAAATACTAAAACATATAAAATGTGTACTAAAAACTATTTGAACACTAAATTAAAATGCTATAGTTCATGGAAACAAACTAACTTGCTGCTCTTGTTATTGATTTAATTTGTTTTTGTATTTATGGATTTATGCCTTGTATTATAATTAGGATTCTGAATTTGAAATGTTTCACTTGAAATAATGTTCTTAATAGAACTAGAAATCTAAAGAATTCTATATTTATTATATCATAGATTTTTAAAATATCTTCTACATTATATGTAAATATGTTACATATTTTCTATGTTTCATACAATAATCCAGCTTATAAAAATTTTCACTTGCAAGTTAATAAAACTATAAAATTTTAGGTACAATATTTTTATTTTTTATTTTCCATTTAAATATTAAATTAAATTTAAAGAAAATAAATTTCATAAAATTTTAAAACTCCAATTATAATCTTTAATAGCACCTACCTGATTAACCTTTTCCGTATTTGCAATCACATTTTAAAAATACCCGTTTTATGTGTACAGTAAGATACATTAATTATATTTAAACTAGAAATTATGCTCTTTTAATTAACGTAATAACAAAATATTACTATGTAGTAGTAATATAGTATACTTTGTATAATTTGTCAAGCGCATATTTTTATTTACATACGACAAAATCAATATAGAAATACTTTATTATCTTATCGAACGAATTAGTTTTATTAATACATATAGTTATATGAATTATAAATACAATATTTACTTATGAGCTATGACATTCTATTTTCGTTACTCATGATATCTATAGTAGATATTTAATTTGAATTTCGCACAGTACCATACATTTCAACAAAATGACTTATTTGCAGATAACAGTCACTTTTTATGTAATGCGGCTGCCCATCGGCAATGCCTTATTTATCGACGGCCCGGGAGAACGACCACAGCGATAGTAAACTGAAATTATTCAACGGTCTCTTTCGATGGAAAAAATCCGAAAAAGAAAAAGGTAATAAAAAAATACACTTATAAACTTTTATATGTATTTTATATTGATTGTCTAATTATTTAATTACGTATACAGCTAGGCAGTTAAGTAAAAGTGAAGTTTGCATAGCTACTGCGATGTCTGTAAAAACAAGAAATTCATGTCCTGCGTCTCCTGCTCTTTCCATACCCAGATCAAGAGATGTTTTCCAAGACATGGAAGCGTTAAAAATGTCTAGGCACGACAATCCATACTTACAGGTAAGGTCATAATTTCTAAGGAAATACTAACTTATATTTGATTCATAGTTTTAAATAAATTTGATTTATTTATAGTTTATACATGATTTCGAAATGTCTAATCGTAGTTTTTAGATTTTTATCAATACAAAAATATAATACACCTATTGACTATTAAGTCATTATTATTTAAATTATTAATAATAAGTATCGTTTTAAAATTTTATCAATGTTCACTAGTATTATCAAAAAAATTAAAAGTATACAATTTTATATTTTATTACCTTACACAGAAAAATACTATTGAAGTAATGTATTAAAATAGATTTATTTAAAAAAAATATTAAAAAAAATTAATGTCATATGATTTATATAGGTTATTTTTCACATAAAACCTATTGTAAAATTGCCATACTAACTACAGCAATTATATGTTTTTACATAACTAATTATTTTTATAATGCGTTTCATAAACAATAAATCGTGAGTACAGCAATATCATCGTATTTTCTTATTTTCCACTGTTAACTATAATATGAAAACGAAAAAACACGATTGTTAATCATAAATGTACTGTATATTACTCCCATAGAATATTGTACGTACATGTATAGTATATTATTGTATATTAGGTATATTATATTCAAGGTGCGGCAAAAAGAACTCCCTGATTAAGAAAAATAATAAAAACTAAACTAAACTTCGACAACAAACGCACGATGCTCTCCCGACCAAGCCATGATAAATACTAAAAACAGCATCGATAAGGTTTTCTATCGATATAAATATCACTAATGTACCTCCACCCAAGCCCAAACTAAGATCTTATCAAACTAGGGAGTTCTTTCTGCCACACCTTGTATTATATATATTATTATTATTATATTTATGTATGTAAATATTAATTTCGTTTTAAAAAAAAATTTTAGCAAGCAGAGAGAGTTTATTAGACGATAATATTGTATCAGAAACAGATGATATAGAAGTCATGGCTCAGGTAATTTTTTTGAATCGTGTTCGTATAATTCATTATAAAGCTATATTTCTAATAAAATAATAGATTCATTTAAAGATGGCTTTATAAATATTTTTGAATAGCAATAACTAGGATCCGGAATTATATACACTAAAAACATACGAAATATCCATGCATTTATGCACTGATTATCATTAAAATATGTAAAAAGTATGATAACGATAATGCATGTTAGTTAAATGTATTTAATTTAAAAATGTCGATCATTAATTAAATAATTTATATGGAACAAAAAAAACGTATAAAATATCTAATTATTATTAAAATTATCTAAATACTTGAACTGTAATTTGTATGTTGTATTAAACTGTATGCTGAATTTTAAAACATTTTGAACATTCACTCGTTGAAATAAGAATTCATAAACGAAAATCAATTTAAAAAAATCAAGTAGATTTTTATAGTATTTCAAAGTTACCTGAAAAATTTCTGTTGACTACTAAAGACTTGAATACATTTTATACATTTTCAAATAAAAGCGCTTTACATTGTTAACTTCAATTTCACGTTACAAAAAAGAATTTCCACGCTAGATGCAAAAATATTTTTTATAAATTCTGTAACATTTTAATAAGAAACACGAGTATACACTATCGCGGAACATGACTAAAATATGATTTACAAAAACTTATTCAATATAAGTATTACAACAATTAGTCTTAACTAAGATTTAATATGTACAGATTGCTCAACGTATTATATATTTTGGTGCTCGGAGTTTTTCATCGAATTTGGAATGTGAGGTATACACCTAGCATCCATGCGGTCATTAATGTAGTTAAATACATTATTTCGTGATAATATTAGTATCAAGCTATATTATCATTTTAATTTATATTCAAACTATATAAATATTTCAATTTAATATCATCTTAATTCTGCTTTGAAAATATGAGAGCAAACTCAAGAATTTCTATTTAAATATTCTAATAGATTTTCTCATGCATTTTATGGAGCACAAAATTTACTGGTTGAGATTTTACAACCAGGAACACAACATTCGTTAGTTACCACACCTATTTAATTCAAATTAAATATTTAATATTAAATGCATTTTCTTAATCAAAAATTTATATAATATATTATAATTTACAATGTACGATTTAAATTAATAAATATTAAAATTAAAACAAAATTAAATTAAAACAATTTTTTATAATTTAAAGTTGAAAAATATTGGCACCGAGAGCGGTAATGATCAACCTCACTATGCTTAACAGCTGATATTTAGTAATATACGACGTTTACCATTCTGGAAACCAATTTCTATAGGACATTGAGTAACCTGTATATCTTAAATCGAGGTCCCAACCGAATTATCTCTATCTAGAAGTGATTAAATAATATAGATAATATAAGAAAACAAATTCCTTGCGAACCATAACTATATGTAGCCAGAACCAATGAAATATTAAAATAAATGGATATGAAACGCTTAGGTATTTGACTATTATGCAATTAAAAATCGTAAAATATAAAAATATGTATTATACATTAAAAAATTACAAAACATGCAAAAATATGCATTTAAAAATTATCTATATGCAATGAAAAATTGTAAAATATAGATACACACAGTACACATCAAAAATTACTGAATATTTAAAAATACAATAAAAACTTTGTACTTCGGATTTATTGACTATAGTTCAAACTTGTAGCTTATTTAGCTACTTTTTGAATTGTTAAAAATTGTTAATAGGTACATGCAAATGCATATAAATTCGGACCCTAGTGATAATTAATTACTATTATGAATTATATATTATATTATGTTGTATGGCATAAATGTCGTAATACTTTACTATAACAAAAATTAAAGTAATGTTTTATATAAATAAAATAAAATTACTAAAATTATGAATTCTCTACTTGAGTCTGCCCTAACTTAAAAAACAATTGTATAAACAATAAATGTATAGTAAATTTTATTATTAAATAGGAATATTTAGCTGATATGGGTCCAGGCGCTCTGGTAGAGCTTCATCAGCACATGGTGAGAAGTCCTCCTCCAACTACGTGGCCACGTATTCCTATATTTAAATATGACGAAAAAAACCATACCCAAGTAATTTAATACTTCCAAATACTATATTGGTAGTAATTAATTCTACAGTTTAATTTATCTATTTATTTATTTTAGGAACTCTATGGAGATAGATGTAAAAGCCCTCAAACCCGGTCGCTCTTTCAGAGCTCCTGTTCAAGTATTTACTTTTATTTACTTATTTATTAACAATTGGGTATGATACTTTGAAGCAGGGTCCCCATTTCAGTTTTCTTAAGGGTGTGCTAACAATTTAGGAGGGCAATTTTTTTTCCACTACCAGACCAATCGTTAAAAAACGTTTCTTGTATTTTCACAATAAAATTTTTCTATCTAAAACATATTTACGGCACAAAGACCTTATAATATCTATTATCTACCGGAGAAAAAATGTAATTTCTATCGTAGAAAGAACCATTTACCATTAAGCAATAATATTATTAATTTTATTCAAGACGAATAAAGATAGATGTTTCATTGTTTCAGGGATCAAATATTTTAAGCTAAATCCAGGGCCATAGTATCAACAATTAGTATATAATAAATAAATAAATAGTAGACAATAATTTGTCAGGGTGTGAGGCAGAGGCGTGCCCAGGATCAAAATGTAGGATAGGCTCGGTCATAATTATTTTAGTTTATGTATGTACATAATACACATTATTTTTTTTTTAGAAACTTAATATTTTTAAATTGAATTAGAAAAAATGATTATAAAATAATATAATACAACACAATTTATTCCTCCTATTTGACTTGTTAATAATACTTAAAGTTACATATTAAAAAATAAAATTAAGTTTTTATATAACTGAATAATACCTAAATGAATGCAAATGAAACAATAGTTTTTTTAATTATAAGTACATAAAAATATAAAATATAATAATTATTTAGTGAATTGAAGTCTTCGATTTTTCAATTTAGCAAACTTGTTAACAATCTTTATAGGATCCTGAATTAATTCAAAACTTAACTCTCTCTCAATAGAAATTAACGCTAAATTATGAAGACGTGTAGTAGACATAGATGTTCGTAAATAAGTTTTTATCCTTTTCATTGTTGAAAAACTTCTTTCGGCCGATGCTGAACTTACAGGTATAACTAACACTCGTTCCATGACTTTTTTAATTTCTCCAAATGACTACCCCATAATATTTCGTTGTAAAAATCTATGATATTTTTACAACTACTGTACATATTTTTTGCTAATTTGTTTTGACTTATGATTTGGTCAGAGAAATAATTATCATCTCCATAATAATTTATACACTTTAAAACAAAATCATCATTTAAAAAGTTTGTCGATATCGGATTGAATACTGAAATAGCAGTTAAAAATTTTGAATTGTTGTTAAATCTTTTTTTTCATTTCATTCAACATATTATCTATTATTGTAAAATACATAATTCGCAATTTTTGAGTCGTAGTTTTATTACATTTTAAGCCAATTGTTGAAGTAATTACATAATCACTTTATATATACTATTAATATTTTTCTGTCTTTTTTCATAATTATCCATAGAGATATTTAAATTTGAAGCCATAATTTGAGCTTTTTTATAAAAGTTGTTGAAAAATTCATCCGAACGTAAACTTTGAAGCTCTTTTATTGTAGCATCAATTAAATTTAAACACTTAATTATATCAAGAGAAGAAGATTGTAAATGTATTGAAAGTACATTGATAGTTGATAAAAGGTTATCAAGAAATGTTAAAACAAATAATACGTCAAACGATCGAAATTGGTTTAATAATCCTTTGGCTTCTACGGCCTCTTTTTTTTTGAGCTACTTGACAGTTGTGATAAAGCTTTTATGACATGTTCAAAACGAATTAAAAAAAAATGAATACCTTTATATTTTGCAACCCATCTAGTATTACTATATTGAGGGACTTTTAAAATTGTTTCACAATCTTTTTGGACATCAAAAAATATTTTATAACGTAAAGTTGAACTCGATTGATATGCATAAATTACTTCAAGCAATCCAATCGTATTGTCAACAATCTCAACTGATTTAGCAACATCGACCAAAACTAAATTAAGCCGATGTGCATAGCAATGTATATAAGGGCATTTGTTTTTAGAAACTTCTCTAATTTTTACTTGTACGCCATTGGTAGAACCAGACATTACTGATGCACCGTCGTAGGTTGACTTATACATTTTGTAATATCTAAACCAACTGAATTTAAAAATTCGATAATAGAATTATTTAGACCAAGTGCATCTAATTCTTCTACTTGTAAAAATCCTAAGAACCTTTCTTTTATAGTTAATTTATGTACATATCTGATACATATTGACATTTGTTCAAATGTTGACGCATCACGAGCTTCATCAATAATTAAACTTTAAACCGAACTACCTTCATTCACTTCTCTAATAATAGTTTGTAAAATGACATTTGAAGACGCAAATAAAATATCATTTTGGATTTTATTTGAAGTATATTTAGCATTTTTAGGTAGGGACTTTAAATTTATATTAAACTTCACACATTATTGTGACCACGTAAACCTATATCCTGTCGTGCGCAATACAAAACTGAACGAATTACACTTTTTAATACTTCTCGATTTTTATTTATATTCTCTTCGACATGACTATTCATTTGAGTCGTAACAGCTCCTATACTTTTTGATGATATATAACCTTGATATTTGGCTAACGATGTTTTATGCGAATCTACCGAGTTATGATTTTTTTCCATCCCCGAAATATTTTTCCAATTATTATATCCTGTGGCTATTAAAACATCTTGATGCTTTTCACGAGATATAGAACTAGTAAAATGACGACAAAAAAAAAAACAGAAAATTGCATCCAATTGAACAGAATATTCAATCCAAGGATAAACTTTGTACCATGAACTTTGAAAACTACGTTGTTTTTCACAATTTTTACGACGTGGAAAATTGATAATCGGCTGAATTGGTTGTTCATCACTATTTAAGCTAATATTAAGCACATTTAAGCTAGACGAGGAAATAGAAGACTCGTTAGAAGTTGAGGTAACATTTAATTTTAACATTTTTGTTTGTGGTTGATCTATTGTACTATCATCATCGTTCAATGTCCTTGTGGGTTTCGGAATAGGTTTAAAAAACTGGCTAATCATATTTTTATTTTTATTTAATTATTAGTCAAGTTATAATCAATATAAAATAAAAAAGTACTTAGGTTATTTTAATAGTGTACATAAACAAAAACAGACAAAACGAATAAAACGATTTTCTCGATCGGCTCGGTTACACACAAGTCACTAAAATACGTCTACACAGTACACAGTACACACTGTAATAAACTAATAAATTATTAATACCAAAAAATAACATATTTTGTAAACCATATTCATTATCTTATATCAAATGACGATTGTCGGCAGTGAACGGCCAGTGACGAATGTATAAATAACTCACTTCGGGTGTATTATTGTCTATTTTTTACTATTTTTAGCCGATAAGCAGTACTGTGGTTACAATTGTTTGCGACTAAGGAAAGAATTATTAATAATGTATAAACGCTTGCTATAAGTAGGTAATAAATAAATAAACCTTGTTCCAAAATGATTCAATTACATATCGTATTATGAAGCAAAAAAATGTATAAAATTATGTTTCTTGAAAAATATTAATAATTATTATTTGAAAACAGGGTAGGCCTGGGCCTACCACGCCTACCTGCTGAGCACGCCACTGGTGTGAGGGCACACACCCTGTCACCCCCAAATGGCGCCCATGCTTTGAAGTATTTTACTTTAACATTTTATATATTTGGTAGCATCACTTAACTAATTAAATTCTATTTCCTTTATTTAAAAGCAAATGATACATTGGTAACATTGGTACCGCGTGTGTAACAATTATTCATTACGTTTCAACTGACACTTGTTGTTGTCCCCAATTGCCTCATCAGCAACTGTTAATTATTAAGGAAGCCAGGGGAGATTTTTGGACTCGTCATACCATATTTATAAATTTCTAATTATAATGTTTCACTTAAATATATACTTTATTGTAGGTTATTATGAAAATACAATGTATTACTCTATGATAATTAATTACTTAAAGTACTTAATAAATTATTTTGATACTTGTTTTAGATTTAAATTAGCGACAAATTACATTCGTAATTAATTATACATCATCTGTCATAAAATATAATGAATGAATATATATAAATACAAAATGAAATAATAAAATGAGAATTTAATTTTTTCCTCATTTATGAAGTTGTTAATATAATTATAAAATGTGTATATACAGTGGTGTATCCAAGAGGGGGGGAGTTATAATCTCCCCCCTCCGAAAATGTTTAGTGTATATATATATTGTCTATTGATTATAATAAAAACACACAAAATTCAAAAAAAATTTAATATTACATTTTTTTATAACCCCACCCCCAAAAAAAAAAAATTCTGGATACGCCACTGTTTATATATATATAAAGCAATGGTAATTATAAAAATTTTAATTGTGCAGGTAGCTCTTCAAGTTGTGTTGTTTCACCAAGATATAATCATCAATCTCGGTGTCATCGATCGGCTAGTGAATCTCGAGGTAAAGGCGTCTAAACCTCATATTATACTTCGTAAATATAATACTTAGACGAATCTTCTGTGGACTATAGACCAAGAAAAAGGAAGCATAAGTTCACTTTTTAATCCATCGACACTGATTTCATTAACTGATATATATCGTCTACATAATCGTACATCCGAAGAAAATCAAAAGCTTGTATAAAAGTTCTGCTATTATGTCTATGTATGTATCCTGACAGTTTTATGTTATATGTAAAAAAAATGTTGATAGATTAAATACTGAAAGAATTGTAATATTCAATTCGTAAGGGCAATATGAAAAATTATGAGTAGTAAACTAATATTAATTACTTACAATATATAGGGTATGTTAATAATAACGATATTTTATGTACTCGTTAATTCGCATTTTATTTTTACAAATAATTTTTCTATTTTAAATAATATATTCTATTTATTGTCAGTAAAACGCGATTTTCCTTTATAATATAAATAACCCCTTTTTCTAAAATCATATTCTATTTATTTTTCATAAATAATGTTATATTATCTATGATTTTTTCAATCTCAAACATTTATTTAAGTTATAATATTTAACCGTAAAATCCTTTACGGCAACTTCAATTCTTATAAGATCTACAGATAGAGCCAGTGGTTTCAAACCACTATTGAGAAATAAACTTATGAAAACGTTTGGCAATTTTTATTGTCTAGGTAGCGATTTTTTCATGTATATAAATACACAAATCAAGATAGCTTATAGGTATGTACACACAATTGAATTTATATTTGTCTAAATTTAACTAGATTTTATTCTAAAAATGAATTCAAAAACATCCAAATGATTTTTTTTTTTAAATAATAAAATAAATGATAATAGATAATTTTGTTTTTATTAGTTATAAATCTAAAATAATATTTTACTTAATTATCAATTTATATAAAATTCAATTTTGACCAATAACTTAAAATAATATAATTTAATTTATAATTCAAATATTACAAGTATATAACCTGTCGAGCTTTAAAAATCAAAGATTTTTTTAATTTCAAATAATACAAAACAAAAAATGAATTTCATATGATAATATTTTAATAGACATAGAGTTGTTCAAGTTTATGAGTAATCTTAATGTATACCTCTTATGCCTGTGTATTATACAAATATAAATATTAGTTTTGTATTAAGATAAGAGAACTAAACTGGATTTCAATAAGATCATTGAGTATGGATAATTTATTAATTAATGCACTCAGCAATAATTTAATGTTAATTGTTCATTATTCTATAACTATCTAATTTAAAAAAATATAATTCGCGATTTCAAAAACTTTTATATACTTAACTGTTACTTAGCTATTACATTTCAATCCTAATACTTCAAACAAATTAATTTGTGGTTATTCATTATTTTATGACTTGAAAGTAATATACTAATTTAACAATATTTTTAAAATTTAATTCAGATATTAATTTTCAGTGATAATGAAATCCGTTAGAAAATGTATTTAAATTTTTAGTGTTCAAATTATCCTATTGGGGAAGGATGTTTTAATTAAAAATGTATTATTTTCAATCTTTATTCTTTCTTATTATATATAAAAAAAAAAATGCAATCAAGACCGAAATTCATCCTTCTGGTTTTTAAACTGAATTCATCAATTATTTGTTCTGTAGATAATGTATTGTCTCGATGTATGTTCATTAACGCCATTTCATTTAACGGGAATTGCCCCATTGTATTTCTTAAATAGGTTTTTAAACTTTTAAGACTAAAAAAAATAAAAAAAAAAAAAAAAGCCTATGGAGGAGATATATCCTCCATCATCATCCGCCTGCACACGCCACTGGTAATCGATTTACGTTAAAATATATTTATGATTGAATATTGACAATATCCAATGCATTATATCATTCAATAATTTTTCAGAAGTTTACTCAATCAAATCAAATCAATATAGCTTATTTATATTTAATACTACTAATAATGAAGTTTATATTTGAATTTCATATTAAATATTTACTACTTGATAAGTGCATACCCCTAGGCATCGTAACATTTATAATATTTAAAATATTTATTTTTTGACTACCTATTTTTTGAACTTGTATTCATGTGCCATTAGTAATTAACTATAAAAAATGCAATTACAACTCGTTGATTTATTTATAAATTAAAATGTCGTAACTTGTTCGATATCAGAATAACTAAGTACGTGATTGTTGTGATAGAAATATTCTTGTATGTTAAATAAACATAAAATATTTTCATCCTGTATCTAAATACTTGACTAAATGTGTATAGTATTTTAATATTAATATAGAATCATGTTTGTAATTTTAACTAATAGAGTTATTGTTAAATTTTGGTTGGTGCTTTGAAATTTGTTTAGAGTTTCTAAATACTTTTTATCTTTCGGGTACTTTTATTCATCAGGTTTTTTTTAGTAAACGCAAAACACATTTAAACCTTAGTACAAATATTTATGTACGTAAATACATACAGCAATAATTTAGTTTTATTATTATTTAAATTTTGTCTTTACAACTGTTATTATTTTTAACAAAAATCAAACTCAAAAACTTCAATGTGTAATTTATATAATTTATAGCTTAAGTTGTTCAAATAAGATGTATGTAAATGTAAAACCAAAATTATTGTTGCCTAGGACTTGATAAAATGGTAGATAAATAAATATAAATCAAAAACACCAAATTCTTATTAATACTATGGTATATTATTATTTATTACACTTAACGGTTTAAGTTATAGTCTTTATACCTGCATTGCTTTTTTTATATTGTTTTTTCATACACATGTGATTTTATGTTACCATTATCTTAAATTGGATCGAAAATAAATTATTCAGTATATTTATATTTATTTTCTTTCAGTACATAATATTTATAAAAAAAAAAAAATTTAATATATGTACTTACTAATATAGTGTTATAACTTAAAATAAAAATTTATATTAAACTGTTTATATTTATAATAAGATTTATTTGAATAGAATAATTTGTTTGGTCCAAGCCGTATAAGAAAAATTAATTGATGTTATTAAAACAAATCCATTAACAATAATGCATACCAATTTAATATTAAATATTTGAACGCGTTATTTATTATGTTAAACGTTAAAAATTGTCGCACAAAACTTTTGTAGACAAATATTGTAGTTTTTGTTATGTTTTTTTGATTGGTTATCAAAAATGTACATGTATAATTTGTATGATGTAAAACAACAAATAAAAAAATATATAAATTAAATTTTGTTGAAATATATTATAGAATGAAATTCTATTATTTTACAATCTACACGTGTATATTGCATATTTCTACTAAATATACTTAATAATCTTTAAACATAGTATGTATTTTACTAAATCTAGCAATATAATTGTTTATATTTATGTGTGTATGCAGTACATTCGATGCATGTTTAAAAATAGTACAATCTAAACGGAAATTTCAACTTTCAAAAGATTAAATTGTGTTTTAAAATCAAATGTGGGCTTAATTAATAAGATTTTAACAGGAGAAAAGTTTTCGAAGGCTGCCATTTCTTTATAATTTCATCCAGATCTAGTCTAGTCAGTATTAATTTACAAATTAAGATGTTAACCGTGTGTGGTGGATAATAACAGCTCTTCAGTACATTTTCGCCGGTATTGGTGAGTTTTAGCCTAATGAACACAATATAAATTTATTAATATTATGTATTTTCTAGTGTTTATGGTGTAACAATTCATTTGTTTCTCATTTTATGTTATCATTTTCGTGCGTTGCGTATCCGCAGCCTTCGTCGGCGGCGGTGATAAGCCTTCGTGTGCTACCGGCCGGGTACGCAATCGCACTGTTATCATCGCATGAAAGTGTCTTTATTTCCACGTTTTCAAAATTTTTCGGTTATGTTTTTGTAAAAGTAAAAGTCATGTTCTCAGAGCCACAAAGTTTCATAAGTTCTCATGTTTTTTGGTTTATTGTGGTGGCACTGAGACATTTATCTTCATTTTGTGGTGTCCGGCGGCCTTAGCCTTCGTGGTGAATGTCGTCGGCCCCATCTCGTTCTCGTTTTTGTGTCTTCGTGGTGTGCACATCAAATTTAATTTCGTTTCAAGTTTTCGTACGTCCCCAGCCATTTGTTCAAACCACGTTGTTGAATAGTGTCATTTTCGTTTGTGAATCGACTGTCTGGTAAAGTATCGTTCGGGGCAATCTGATGTTGTCCAGTGATTAATCTCATTGTTTTTCAATTTTACCAGCGGTCGCTTTGTGAATAACGTGGTTTTCATTTGTTTTCTCATCGTCCAGGGCTGTACCATTGCAGTTGTTTCGTTGGTGACTGTGCTTGAGTGGTCGCACGTACCAATTCTGTGATTTATTTTCATTTATACACTGCGGTCGACCATATTTGTATACATCGTTGTGTAAAGGCCGATGGGCCTAGCCACCAAAGGCTATTATTTTCATTGTTATTTTATTTTAATTATTTTGTATTGCGGGCCGTATATTATTTATTTATATTTATATATTATTATTATTATTATTATTACTATTATTATCATGATTATTCAATTATACAGTCCATTTAAAGTTTAATATTATTTTTTTTCTATTTCATTTTATTCACACAGCAGTTATTCCCAATAGTACATTTTCATTATACAGCTATTAAGGCACCCTTATTATCATCTACAAGAGCTGATTGCAGCGACATCTAGTATTGTTGTCGACGCGGCAAATGCCTGCCTACAACAGGAGGCAATCTTGTTCGCCGGTGAATATAATGATAAAGAAGTAAATAAATGAATAAATATATTGTATAATAAATAATAGTGTGATCTGTTTGATCCAATAAATAAAAAAAAATAATAATTCGTTTATGACGGCAGCTCGGCAGAGCACAGGGGGTGCACAGATAGACAGGCACGATGAATATTATGTTAAATTAATGATAAATCAGTATTAGTCAAAGTCGGTATATTGCCTAGTTTCAATTTTGAGCGAATAAGTTTTGATGGTTTGAAAAAAATGTCTACTAAAGCTTTTCTTTTTAGAGAATTACTCATTATTTGCAGTGATGTACTGGTAAATATATTTATGGGTATACGCACTAAAAAATATGGATTTTAATCCTAAAATCAATTTTTTCGCTTCACTCGACGATTTTTTTTCTTGGTACGTTCGAATAAAATTAATTAATCCTTTGTACATGTTTATAACTTCTAATAAGACATTAAAATATAAAACCACAAGATATACATTTGTCGCGCGTTATACATTGCATGATGCAGATTTAATAATCGAGGACTAAATGCCCATTTAACTTAAAATACAATAACACAGCGTACACTATAATCTTCAACAGATA